GCGCCCCCGCGCAAACGAAAGAGAGCTCGTCAGTTTTTCTGCAGATTATGCATTGTCCTATATCATCCTGGTCTGTAGGAATCTGACCTTCTACAGTGAAACGACTCGGGGGTTCACTCTTCATTGTCCCCCGAGCCCCCACCACGCGGAGTGCACAAAGAAACGTGTGGGTAATCCAACGCCCGACCAGGTTTTTAGTCTAGTTCTCCTTTTACAGGAGGTCTTGGCGAGGTTTCTCTATTTTACTCACCCACCACATTTCCACAAACAATGCGTCCTCCACATCGTCTCATCCTTTCAGCGTTGGAGATCACCCCTGGCCCCAGGACATGCGGATCCTTGGCATCCCAAGTTTCTCTTCTGTTTCTGTTTTTTGATTTGCAGCACTGGCACTCCATGCGAGGCTTCATTCAAACACCGATAGGTCATCGCGAGTGCAACCATAGCCATTCATGGGATCGAACACAATCAGGTTCTTTGCGGGAAACCTTCAAAGACTCACATCAACCTCCCGGGCTTTGGGTGGGGCTGCGGCCTCGCTGGTCCCCCCAACAAGGGACGGCGTGAGGCGGACTTGCCAGCAGCTGCTTGGGTTCTGCATTGCCTTTTGGCCGTGGTCTTTGCTGCTTTAGTGGCAGGCACGGTGTTGTATCAGAGAAGGTGGGCATCGGCCATCCCAGAGTCGTTCACATGCAGCGTTCCAAGGTCTTTCGGACGTAGGGGTTTGTTATGCCGTGCTCACCATGGAGGTAGCATGAACCGGGCGTCTGGATGGCCCTTTCACAGCTGTGACCCTGGTTGTGGCTCCGCGCGAACGCGAGGAGCAACAGCTCTTGATGCGCAGGGCTGGCATTCGTCAAGACCACCTGGCCAGGGTGAGGCATGCGACCGCACAGGCTCAACGCAGCAACAAGCCCGCCTGCCAGCGGTTCGCGACGCTGAACAGCTGCTCGGCCGCTTCGGTGTCAATCCCAGCCAGCTGCGGGTAGTCCGCCGGGTTGGCGCCCGCCGCATACCAACCACTTGCAGGATCTTGGCGCGCCTTGTGGTACTGCAGGTGCAACCGATCAATGACCCAAAGGAGTGCCCGCAAGCGGTGCCATGGGGGACACAGCACCGCCCGCTTGCGGATCATCCGGGCCACAGCACACGCGTTGTCATAGATGACGTACTGCAATGCCTTGGGTGACACGCGCATTTATGTACGAACCGGGGCGCAGCCCCGAGACAGCCAGCAGGAGGCAACCAAGCCTCGACGAAGATCGCGCACAGATCCCAAATCAACAGAAGCACCTGTGTGCAGGACTCCGTGGAGTGCATGGACTTAATGGCCACAATCCTGACCAGAGAAAGATTCCAAATTCAAAGAACCTGTTGCGGAGGCGCAACCACGCCGTGCAGCAAAGTGTCTGAAGGCAGGGGGTAACCCCGATCAGAATACCTGCAGTACGGCGGCCGCAGGAAGGCTCATCCAAGTCCTTCCGACGCCGTGGGGTTGGGTGTTTGTGTGTTGGTCGCGGGGGCATCGTTGGATCTGAAGCAGTGACAGTTAAGCTCCAAATTGAAGTGAAAGAAAACATCATCAGATACTTCATGGTATTGGTCTAGGAGGTATTTCTCATGATTTAGTCTCTAGTCTCGCCAGGGATCGCCGATCACTGAACAACCGGATTCGTGTCCCGCAGCCATTCCCGTCGACGGACGAATTCGTCCTCTCGTCCCCTGCAGGACGAAAGCTCTCTGTAGCTCTTCTGGGGTTCAATTCTGCATGCCTGTACGTTTCGTTTCTTTCCAGCCCAGGGCATTCTTGGACCAGCAAGGGTCCACGCAGGGAGAAGGACGCATGAGGACGCACCACCGCGGCTCCCGGTCCGCAAAGTGGATCAAGGTGGGCGAACCTTGCGCGGACGCATCTCCTACTTCTGCCGCGCGTCCGCGTCACCACCCCGGACACCTGCATCTTTGGGTAGTGAGTGGGTTAGACGCTGACGGTGCGTCACCACCGGCTGTGGGCGATATTTGGGCTGTTTGCGCACAAAAGTTTCTGCGCCTCAGCATCCGCCGCTGTGGACCCCAAGTCTTGCAAGCTTGTTGGCAGGCCCTGGCCCTCTGCAAATGTGTTGCAGAATTTCGAGATCCCTCAGCCCGGGCCCCAGGTCAACGTCGAAGGGGGATGTTTCGAGGTCCTATTTCACAGGTCGCCGTGGGATAGGCCTTCACGGTTTTAGACAGACACTCACGCTGACTATACGCTATTTCACGCTTCCCCCCTTTGCCGATACAGACACAAGTCCCCTGTTTTTCTTACCCCTTGCCACTCGACGTAGGCACTACGTCCTCCAAAGAGGGATAAAATGACACGACAAAAACATCGTCTGATATCGTCATTGAAAGGATTTCAAGAACGTGTTCATATACTTATTATATATTTCATACACCAAACACTGGTGTTCTCGAGCATTTTGAACCTCAGGTCCTCCACTCATATAGAGACAGTGGGTCTTCAATCGAATAAACCATAGACACTCCGAACGTCGGACTTTTTGGCAGTCGTTTTGCAGACCGGGTGCACACGGGTATGGCCTTTTGTGGTACTGACTCCACTGCTGGGAGGTCATGCCTACGTTTTGGGGTCGTTGATCTGCGGCTGGTGGTGATGTGTCCACGTCTGCCGCTCGCATGCGCGTCAGCTATAACGTCGCAACGCCTACGAAACAGACAACTGGGATCTGGAGATGGAAGTCCACATGGTCAAAGCACGGACACGCACTTCACACCATTTGCTAGACATGCGGGCGTCCTTTTCGCTTTTTTTCTATCAAAAAACCTCAAAAAGTACGCCCTTTACTACCAAAACACATGGTGCTTGTGATGCCGGTTTGGGCCCTTGCATTTTCAACATTTTCGTGTTTCAACCTCCAAAGACTTGCCTCTGCAACAAGACCTTTTAAACTGGTATGACCTCCACTATCTAAACGCAGCTTGCTTCCGACACGGAGCTTGATTTTTGGGTAGGTCGGTTCCAAAAACGTGAAAAACACAGGATTCTAGAGCGAAAATGCCCCCCCCCCCTAGCTAAAGCTATTGGCTTGCATATGCTAGCTTACGTATAGCGCGTGCCCGGCAGATTTTCAGATTGAGCTCCAAGTACTAGTAACAAGAAGCTAGTAGGAACAAGTGCCTCGCTAGTAGGAACAGGTGCCCTACTAGTAGTAACAAGAAGCTAGTAGTAACAGGTGCCACGCTAGTAGTAACAGGTGCCTTACTAGTAGTAACAAGAAGCTATAGTAGTAACAGGTGCCACGCTAGTAGTAACGCTAGTAGTAACAGGTGCCTTACTAGTAGTAACAAGAAGCTAGTAGTAACAGGTGCCGTAGACATGGCGCAGCCACATCTCCAATGTCTCCTCCATTCACGGGGGGGCGCTGCGGTGACGAGTTTCGACCAGTGCTGCTGGCGCCTCAGGACAACTCTTCTGCGGATGCGGCTTCTTCGCAGCGGCTGCGGAGCCCCTGGGCGGCCACGCATATAACCCGCTCACGCGCCCTTCCATATCACGCGGACCGCTCTCACAACATGAACCAATAGACTCTCGCGCCGGCGTTGCGATCCCCAGTGCCACCCGACCAGGTACCACACTCCCCGTAACTATGCAGACCCTGCCCCCCACGGCGCACCCGCTCCGACCAGACGCGCGGATAGTGTTTCTCCTATAGGTCACCCTACGCTGCAGCTGCGGTCGTCCTGCAAACGTGGCCGACACTGCATCGTGAGACGTGCGGATAAAACTGTGGACTCTGCGCGCTCAGGCTCCAGCTGCGCGCGTGCCTCGTACGTGTCCTCGACATTCAACACCATTGGCATTAGATGGAGTGGAGCAGGGACTGGGACCTCGCTTCCCTACGTGGCATTCAAACTGGAAGTCCTTTCCCCCTGCCCACTGTCCTGTGTTGGACGACGTGCAACTGGAACTGGAACTCCCCTCCCCCCCGAGCATCCTGTGTTGGACGACGTGGAACTGGAACTGGAACTGCCCTCCCCAGTCTGCCGTCTTGGACGACGTGGAACTGGAAATGGAACCGGAACTGCCCTCCCCCCCTCGAACTGAAACTGGAACTGGACCTCCCCTGCCCCCTCCCCAGTCTTCCGCGGTGGACGACGTGGAACTGGAGCTGGAAGTGGAACTCCCCTCCGCGCTGAGAGGTCTCTATGTGTTGGACGACGTGGAACTGGAACTGGAACTCCCCTCCCCCCAGTCTCCCGTGTTGGACGACGTGGAACTGGAACCGGAACTGGAACTCCCCTTCCCCCTCCTGTGTTGGACGACGTGGAACTGGAACTGGAACTCCCCCCCCTCCTGTGTTGGACGACGTGGAACTGGAACTG